AAACTGATAAACTGCAATGGAAACAAAAACACACAATTTAACTGAATAATCCCTAAAACAAAAGCAGCACAAATCTCTCGAATGACCTGCATTTTCCTGCTAGCACCTGGGCTCTTTTGTACCAGCTGACAGTGGAATGTTTACTTGCCATATTCCAGAGGTTCACCAAGAAGAGTTCCACAAACACCAGCTTATCTCAGCACCATTCCAAAAGACAGTCAAATTCCACACAGCAAAAAATGGTGGTCGCATCCACGCAGTTCTTTGCAAGAGAAATCAAAACTTCAGACACAGGCTGTCTTTTAAATCTTTTATTTCAGTAGGAAAGCTTATTGAAACCTGTACTTCAATTCATTTAAACTAGCTTATGCAAACACACAGTTTTCACACACACACACACACACACACACACACACACACACAGTATTAAAAATGTTGAAGAAAAACAGGCTAGAGGGCAGCCAAACTGCACATCACTCCATGAGATCATAGTGCAATCGCTCCACCATCGCAACGCCTCACGCCAGCAGGCAATATTACAAACGGCTGTGTTTACTGCATGACAACCTTGATCCCCTCTTTCCAGTGACGGTTGGCCCTTAGAGGTTTATTATAAAACATCAATGTGATTCCTGGTGCTTTTTACACTTGAGTACAGCAGTGCTTAAATGCATACATTCCTGTACACACAGAGCTAGAGGTGCCTGCAAGCAAGGCAACCTAGAACCCTTTCTTTCAATGTTTTATTCCATCAATTTGTACTGCTTTTCTGTTTTACCTGCCAATGGCTTTGGAATGATAAGAGAGGTGTTCAAGAAACACGTTTCAAGGTCAGAACTTACCCAAAGACAGAAAAATAACATGCTAAGCAAACACAAAAGGAAAATGGAATATTCACGATGCTTTAAGCAATTCAAGAGGATGATCAGGCTAACAACCAAAACCACATGACCAGCATCATCAGGAATTCCAGTTAATTACTTTTTTCTTAATAATGTAACCTCAAGACAACTTGTCAGCTCTTTTCTTCAATATGAGTAGCTAACCTAAATGATTTGTCTTTTCACAACCATTCTGCCATCTCCAAAGATGTTTAGAAAGCCTAAGATAAAGCTTCATTCTATCCTTTCTTTTCCAACATCCATTAACACCACAGTAAACTGCCATTGTTTTTAATCAAAGATGCAGGAAGACAGAAAAGTAACATTTGATCCCCTAAGAAGAACATATTCTTTCATTTCCCTTTCTGATGCCTATAAAGCCTTGCTACTAACACAATCTGCAGCAGTTGTTTCAGTAATAGTTCTACCTCATGTTGGCACTAGAAGCATAATACACATAACTGAGCCTACGGGCTATTATGAAAGAATCAGATGGATTTATTCAGCCTTCTCTTCCCACAAACATTTTTCTCCGTAGTTTTTATGTTGACAAAAAGCCTGTTAAAAAATAAATCCTCTCATAACTACACCCTTCAATGTTTAAATTGAAAGAAATGGGACAGAGAAGCATGCTCATTTCTAAACACGTGAGCTCTTAAGCTCGTATGTTCCAGGCCATGACTCAGACAATCCTTTTCAGGTTTCCTTCTCCACTGCCACATCCATTCAGACACATACCAAATAAAAATAAATTAATTCTAAGGAAGTCTGAGCTACGTCTGGTAAAAGCCACACGAGCCCAAGCTACCAAATACTGATGCATTTCTCCTAAAGAGAGACCATTCAATGGCAGAAGAAATACTACAGCAACTCAAGCTACAGCTATTTTACACTGAAAGCAAGCTAAACTGCACCAAAGCAGCTAAACTCTTCTGCAGAAACAGTGACAGTAGGGAACGTCCCCCCCTGTGACACCAAGGGCACAGCTCACGAGTCTGTGGCACTCTCAGCACTGAAGGAACAGGATCAGTATCCAAGTTAATTGTAAGGCACTGACAAAAGTCCTCCTTTAACACAAACACTCACCTCCTTTTGATACATAACAAATTAGCACGAGCATTTTAAAAAGAGAATGATCCCTACAAACAAGTTTTAGGTCCATTCATACAGCTTCCTCAATTAGAACTTTCCCAACCCCATCAGCTTCTCCACAAGCCATTTTTGGAAGAAAAATGAAAGAAAAAGGCCAATAGGTAAATAATAACAACACTTTTACAACGTGATGTTGTAGGCAGAACAGGCAATTAGCTGATGTGATTTAGTACCAGCAGTGGTGTCTTGATGTTTTAACATGCAGCACACTACCGCCAGCCATGGAAAAGTCTAATGACTTAGCATAAAAAAATCAAAAGTAGAAAACAAAGAAAAATGCCACTGACAGAGCCGTAAGAAATGACATCCCATGATTTACCTTGATTTGGATAAGATTTGCCTAAGTTAATCCAAAACCACAAGATGGATTTGCTGCCTATCCAAAGGGACCTAACCTCATAGAGTGCCTCAGCAGCACAAAAGGCTGCAATCTCTTCTGCTGGAACGGAAAGCATTTCCTTTTAACATCTGTTACATCTCGCAGAAGAGGACTGTACTGTTGAAAAGGTAGAAACACAACTAGAAGAGGCTGAGGCTGCATAAAAAACAAAACAAAACAAAACAGATGAGATACTGAATTCTAGTGAGGAAAAGCTGGCTAATAAAATCCCGCTGCGTTCTTTTATGCTGTTTATTTTCTTACCACCAATAAGGATATTTCTATTAATGCTTTTCTGGGTAACAGTGCAAGCGCTTTGCAGTTGAGTTCAGAGGAGGAAAGTCAATCAGCTGATTTCCCAAAAGAGACCCTGATCCCTCAAGCAACAGGCTGGAACAACAGGCTGTAATGGCATAACTGAGGGCTGCTCAGTGTGCAAGCTGCTGAGATGCAAAATGTCTGCTGTTAGCTTCCTTATCAGATCTTTCTCACGTAGAATATGATTTTAAAGGTAATTTAAAAAAGCTAACAGTAAGATAATTTCAAAGCTGAGTGCTAAAGCTCATTAATTATTTACATGCATTCATTTAGTGTTTGTAGTTTTAACGTTCACAACTTGTACCGAAGTACTCCATGAATCTTAGGAGCTTGAGCAATATGCCTGTGCCACGAAATGCCTGCAAAATGAAATGGGAAGAACTCTATTTACTCAAATCATTAATGCTTTTCAAAACTGAATCTCCTTACTTGCTGTCAAAGAATACTGAAACAGAAGTCAGGTTTGAAAAAACTTGTAAGAATTAGCAAAGGAAGTTAGGAAGGGAAAAGTCAGCAGTAGGTAATAAAAAAAATCAGCACCAAGGGCATTGTAGGTTTCTACAGCACCGCACCAGTTTCACAAACCCGACGTTCCCCGTCGTTTAGTTCCCCCTAAAGACTGTCAGTGTAGCTAACAAAGCAGTGAGTGCTCAGCAGGTGACTCACAGGTACACGGGAAGCCTGGCCACAGGGATCTACACTGAGTGCTTCTCATTCATATGCTTGCAATCAAGGAACTGTAAGGGATGCCTTTAATTTCCAAATCAAAATATTGTGAAATTAAAGTGACAAATATTAGCTGAAGAGCTCCATCAGTCATTAACAAAATAAAGAGAGCATTAGGAAACACACAAACTGCTAACTAACTGAAATAGTCTGGATCACAGTCTTACCTGAATAACAGGACCTCACTGCTGCTCCTTCTTTCTAAGCACTGATTTAAACGCACGTTTTTAACCTTTTCTTAAAGCATGAAGAAAAAAAGCAAAAGCAAAAAACATTACTGTGTTCTTTACAGTGTATTTGACTCATCCAAATCTTTCCAACGCTTAGCTGAAGATTTTCCCTCAGGGAACCAAACTACCACCTCTTCCTGAGCACCACGTATGTCAAAATGTATAACGTTTCAGTAGCTGTGTTGCCCTGTAAGACTACTTGAACAAACATGAGATCAACCATAGGAAAGTACTGGACTACTCACTGCAACAAGTGCCAATAATGCTTTCTGTGTTGTCATTAATCACTCCAATTATCCCAGCTACACATTTTAAGAAACTACTCCCACAATATTCCGTCTCTCCCACAGAAAATAGCATTATCTGAGGGAAGAAAACCAAAGACAGCAGGAGGCGTAAGGACAATTACAACTGGTAACAACAACTCATTAAACAATGATTTGTGCACTGCTTTCCCCACTATCCTCCTACCACAAAAGCCTAATTCAAAACAGCTGGAACAAACAAGAAAAACAATAATAAATGACACCTTCAGACCTGGCTCTGTCTTCAGTAAAGCTGTGTGATGTCAGGCTGTGGCTCCCAGATGCATGTTTCCTTTTGCTGACAGAAGAGCAGACGCAGTTACGCTGCAATGACTCTATAAGAGCTTATTTAAAAATTCAAAATCCACGGGCTGTTATCCACAGTGTTTACAAAAGGACACACATTGCTAAAAAAAAAAACCAAAACCATCTCGCTGCTGAGAAGAAAACACACATTAAATAATTTTTAAAATGAAAAAGCAAAACTGATGTTGTGCAAAGTCTACTACAGTAACACTGCTGGCTACGAAGATGCCGTCTTCACCATACACCCAACATGGGTTAACTTGGGTGATGTGTGAATTGAAAAGGGATTCAGCACAAGCAACCCCTTTTCACAATACATGACTTCAGGATCAGAACAGACTGTTCATTCCCCAAAGCAGAAAAAAAAAAATTGCAGAGGGACACAAATTCCCACACTGCTTGCGGAGCAACTCTGACAGAAATATCCTTCCACTGTTTTCTTTCTACCAAGTGCCAATTCACAAGAACAATTTTTGGAAACACAATCCAGCCTATTGCCATTTAACTCCACATTACCAAGTGTGCGGGTTTTTCGTTTGTTTTTAACTGTGAGACTGGATTCTCCTTCTCTATTTTTTTCCCTCCTAGCATTCAGCAATTAATCATTTCCGTTAAGAGATTAATTTAACTCTGGGGAGAATGAAATGTGACTTCATAGGCTTCTACTCTGATGCAAGAAACAAACTGTACATTTTCAAAATAATCACTACTAGTAGAAAACTTTATTACACAGTCAGAGAACTCTGCCACAAACTGGTAGGTAGTTTGTTTCTCTTTAAAAAGGAGTATTCACGGTGGAATCTGCAAGCTTATTTATGGCCACTAAACCACAACGTCAATGAAACATTTACTATTTTTCCACAGACTTCAAAGTTCTGATATCTTAGAGTCATATTTTGGATAATGTTTACTTGCTTTACAAAGACCATGTTTTGGAAGGTTAAATGAAGACTAATCATCCAGGAAATGTTATCTAGGTGATGTCAAGGAAACCCAAACAACGCAAGAATCAAAGTTTTTATGCATAAAACACATGTATAAAGCATGTTTCCCTTTTTACAATCACATTATTTTTCAAAGTAATTTCAGTGACCAAGAATTATTCCTGTCAAGGATATAACTTTGACAGTCCCATACCTTTTTTCTCTTTGTATTATCCCACCTCATAAATTATTTGTCCAACCATCAAAAGAGCTTCTGTACGTAAGGTCTACTTTAGGCTACATTGTCAATACCACACAATGTCATATTTTGACCAAGACAGATAGTAAAATCAATTATTGCCAAATGAGATCATGAAAGCTTGAGATTGTGCCTCTATCATTTTAAAATATAGACTGTAAGTGATATTATGAAACACCATACACTGACAGTGGTCCCTAGCTGATTAACAGACACCCGGAGAAGTAAAACGTCTCCAAGAACTGTACCAAGATGTTGGGTTGTTGTTTGTTTTTTTTTTGTCATTCAACCTTCATCTGCAGGAGACAGAGGTGTAGGAACAAATGGGAAGAAAACACTCAGTTCTGAGCCAACAGTGCTTTCAGTTTTGTCTTTCACACGCACCCCAAGCACCCGGAACATGTGAACTATGCTCTAACCAGGAATTAGGTAACAGCGCACCAAAAGCATTCTTAGTGTGTCTGTGCCCGCTCACAGGGAATGTGGCTCCCATACAGTACTACAGTTTGCAAGCTTAATGCTACTTCAAACTTGCATTTGTTATGTTTCATATACTCGTAGGTCTGAGAGAATTAACATTGCTCCAGGCTCAGTGTGCCTGGGACAAGCTTCCATTGAGAACTCCTGGTATAGTCCAAACAACATCATCTCTAGAGTGTGCAGCACCTCTTTTACCCAGTTCATACATAGTTTTTGATACAACTCTTAAATACCAGTTTACTTGCTTTCTTAAGAATACCTAAAAAGGTGAGTTATTTTCAAAATTAGTACAAAGTTAAAAGAAACTCAAACAAGCTACAATCTATTTAACTCAAGCACAGCACCGCCAGAAGTTTCACACACACTATTTGGTGTTTCACTGTTGTTTTTCCTTTCACTCTTTAAGGCAGTGGTTTCCACAGGTCAGTTCAGAGGATATAACAAAGCATGGTCCATGGCAATTCATGTTGCAATTCCATTTTTCATTCGGGGGACCCTAATCCCCAGCCATTACGTGTTTTGTTCAGGGCTCCAGAGTTCAGGAGATCGGCCTGACAGGCTCCCTTCTGGCACAGAATGCAGCTGGCACATTTTCTGTCAGGACCTCATTCTCATTTATGAGATGGTTCAAATTGTTCTTTTTTTTTTTTTTCTGTTGTGTTTTGAATTAGCCTGCTATTCAAAGGTCATCAAGTTGGCAGGAACCTGAAAACAAAAATACAAATAGCTGATGTTACTTAGGTAGCAGCTACTTACATCCTAATGTTTCACAAACCTTCAACCTGTTCAAATACACATCCTAATGCTCATTCTGTCAAAAAAAAAAAAAGGGGGGGTGGAGGAGAAAGCTGGGAATTCAACCATCATTAATACAGTCAGTACAAAACACTAGAAGCATACTTACAGCTGTAGAAAATGCAGGAATCACAAAAATACTAAACGACTGAACTGTTTACAACTTTCTTACATGGCCTTAGATCTTATTAACGCTGATGAAATTTAAGATTTTGAGCTGTTGACAAAACAACTTTAACATGATAAATCTCAGGACTGAGCTACACAAGCAGAACCTTCTCACTTGAGTCCCACGAGCTAGGAAATACTTGGCACAGGTCAGTGACTGATGTAGGCCCTCCAGCATTTTTAGGGCTAATTTACAAACACAAGGCATAAACACTTGGCTGGGCTTTTCCCACAGGAAGCCTGAACGTGAGATGCAGACATCACTCCCTTTCATGAATATTAAAGGTAGCCTGCATTACACAGCTTAAGTCCCCAATTTCTCCTTATCGGGAATTTGCCTGAAAGCAATAAATGCTGTTTACTCAGGGTACTAAAGAGCCACTGCATTCCCGATGACTGTCAATAAATGCACAGTCTGGTCAGGTTTGAAGCAGATTATTTCTTGCATTGCATTTACCTGCAGAAGCAGAAATGATAACTGGGTTAAAACTACACCATTAAAAATTATTACATACAATTAAAAATCATATACATTAAAATAGTTCCCAATATTCTTCAATTTGGTAGACGTCCATGCTCTTGTCTTACACAGCCATACCCTCAATAAGAAAAGATCTGCTTTAAATAGATCTGTAAGGCTCCTCTCTAGGGAAAGCACAGCTCAGGGGTAAAATCAAGATCAAGAGAAATAATTTAAAGGATTTTTTTTCTTCCAAAAGGTTTTTTGAACACTAAGTTTTTGCTTATTAACCAATCTTTATTGCCTAATGCTTGCAGGAAGATCTGCTTCTTCTGTGGGAGACTCATTAGGAGTAGCTAATGCTGCAAAAATGCTTGCTGTACAACCACATTCAGACATACCAGAAAACAAAGTATGCAACACATAACAGTAACTGAGGCTGTTGGTCTTTTAGAGCTAGTTTTGTGTTTTTTTTGTTTTTTTTTTTTTCCATGACTCTTCTCTTTTCTTCCTCCCCTTTTAAAACCTACATCATGTTTTCCCCAGGCCCCAGAGGCCCCAAGGCTTGCCACTTTTGCATAAGCCATGAGCAGAATGCTTTAGACCAGTTTGCATTGAATAGAATTGTTAAGCCTTGCTGAATAAAAGTTGTCACCAGCAGGCAGTTTTGGAGCCTGTCTGGCAGTCACCACACTCTTGCAAACTGCTTGCCACTACCGGCTACTATTTCCACCTTCTCCAGCCAGGAACACAATTTTCACTCCTTTGCACTGTCTCAGACATTTCTGCAGCCCTCCTTATTCCTTAGACTTGTGTCAGAGCCGAACAAGAATACACAGAAGGATTTGGAAAGGTCTTTAGTTCCCCCTTATTCTTAAGCATAGCCATGTAGAAGCAGAAAAGTTCAGCAGTGCTTCAGGAACCCAACAGAAAGAAAGGAATTTGAAGAAAAGAGCGTTAACTTAAAGATGCACTTATGCTGATGAAAAAGTCACTATCAATATATATGTGAACAGAATTTAACAGGGCTTGAAGAGTAGTCCTTTCTTCTTTTTTGATTCAAAGAGAATTCAATTTTTGTTTCCAAAGTCTTTTAAATATACTCAGAACATAAATAATTTTTATGTTTTAGTAATACACACAGTCAGCATAACTATGGGACTGCCATCTGTAAACGGGCAGTGACAAAAATACTGTGTCGGAGACTGAGATTTGTCAGTATTTCTTCCATTTCCCAACTTTCCAAATTGCTCTATGGTAGCCTCAAGACTTTTCTTCATCACAACAGAAGCTCTGAGGATTCATTTTCAAGGAGACAAACACAAAAGCTAAACCAAGTCAATAAGCAGGTGAAATCAATGTCCAGACCGGTTGGAGAAGATTGCTGTTCATGTGAAGCAATCAATTACAGCTTGGCCCTTTGGAAGCTCAGTCAGATCTGAGCTTTTAACAGCTGTTATTTCTTTGTCAACATCTTGTTCTCACCTGTTGTCTGTTGCTTTGGCAGGCAGCACTCAGGTGTTTAAACCAGAGCATCGCATTCATTCTATTTCCAGCTTGAAATTTGTATGAATTTCCTAAGTGAGAACAATAAGGGGAAAAAAAAAAACTTAGGAAACACAACAAATACTGCATTTAAATCTCGTCTACAGTCAAAGAACCAAATTTGAACGCTATGAAAACATGTAATAGCAAAAGGTTCTTGCAACTTTACACCTTGACTGCCATACATGGAGCAGCTTAAACAATTGTTTGACGTAGTGCAAGAAGTCATAGCTTGTCTGTCTTCCTTTTGTACACTGTAGATTTCAACTAACACCAGTGTCAGCCAGAAAAACAACAAAACGTTTCTCAGAATTATGTAACAAAGACACATTTTTGTTCAGTGCCATTACTTCAACTTGGTATATCATCACATTATTTTCATTAAGCGCAGGACAGCGCAGAAATGCGCTCCAGAAAGCTTCATTTAATAATCTTTGAAAATTATTCCCAAATGCATTGAAATGATAGACTATTATTTTCAGTATCTCATGTCAGACAGCGCTTACCTGAATTCAGAAAGGCCAAATATTACAAAAGCTTTTCACATTGCTGTTGCTGAGTTTAAGCTGATAACCTTAAACTAGAACAGACACTCAGAAATAAAATGTACTCAGACTGAAGGTAAATAAAATGAGGAATGTCAAACTCCTTTATCACAACTGCTCGTAATAATGCTCTTTGAGCACAGTTACAGAAAAATAACATTTTATTCAGTTTAAACTGAAACCAGGGCACTCACTATGATGGAATAAAGGAATTTTTTTTTCCCTCTGGCTTCTCAGTGCAGAATAGTGAATTTTACTGTTTTTCCTGGCAATGGCACTACATTTGAATAGCTGTTTTGTTTTGTGGTTTGTTTTTCATTTGGAGGGGAGAGGGGCCTGGTCAAGCATCTGGTGTTACTGGAATAGCAAACTCTTTTCATAGCTACTTACATTTTCATGTACGTGAAAATGTCTCTGAAAAACTGAACTAAATACAGTTTGAAAGAATGAAGATGAATACTTAAAATAAAAACACAAGTTGTTACTTTGGACACTACTTAGAACACAATGAAGACTAAGGTACACAGGTGAACCTCAGCAAAATCGGCGTTTGTTCTTGGAACCACTGTGCTCGTGGTGTGAGTGCTGCCTACCTTTCTCAGAATCTGTCAATAAGAAGAGATCTGGATGTTCAGGGTCGTCTGCCATCATCACCATCCAGCCCACAACTGATACATTCTTGCTCGGGGTGGATTTGAACTGAAAATACAAGCAGAGATGTAAAGTAGCATAAAGCCTTAGCCAGACTGACCAACTGCATAGAACAAGCATTCAGAAGAACACTTCCTCTCAGTGTCACTGTTGTAGACAAAAGACTGTCATCAGAGGAAGCCCAGCACTTCAAATAAATTTAATTTTACATGGAATTCATGAAAACAGAACTTACCGCAGCAAACTAAATTCAAAGGATACTTTAAGGAATATCACAATCCATCAAACCAGGCACCCAATATCTAAACCAAGCTGTATGAATACCACAGCATTCCTCACCATCTTTCTGCTTGTGTGTGAACATACCATCATTAAAAAATGCACTAAAAATGCAAAGTTAATCCCCTCCACTGTTAATAAAGAAAAATGTAACTACTCAGTGCCACAACTATTCAAAGCGAGCACGTATATTCCAGTAAATAAGTCATTTTTATAGACGAGATATCCAGAATGATGGGGTTTTCCTGCCTAAGTTATCACCCAAACATTGACATAGTTTGTACCTCCCTATTTAAGCACGACAACTGTCTCTCCTACGCTACTCCCTCTCTTTACAACTTCATTATTCTGCTCTCCTTTTCACCCAACTGGGCAATATTATTTTCTACTTCTCAGTTCCAGGCAACCTGCCCATTAAATCCCACCTTGGCCATTTTCAGCTTCTTTCTTCCTGGTCTTCTTGTTATTAGCAGACCCTCACAATTCACTTCCCATGGCTTGCTCAGATGCTCCTTCTCTCTTCAATATCTATAATTCATTCAGTTTCCCTCAAGTCTTCAGTTGACAGATCTCCTCCTCCTACATTCATGTGCCCATCACAGACTTTGCAGTAAGTCCTTGCACTTCTCCCCTCTGCAATACTTAATCTCTCCACTGTGCCCATAAGGTCCAACTCTACTCTATGCAGTTTGCTACCAGATGCATCTTTGTCCTGGCTTTGTGAAATCCCTGTTATAACCTCTTCATTAGCAAAGTAATTTGGTCATCTCTTTAATTACAGGTATTTTCAGAAGCCATACAGCTAAAATTATTTCAAGGATATTTTCAGTTACTAAAACGAATTTATAATTCTAGAATACTTTTCATATTAATGTCTCATAGCAGACTTACAGCATTAAGCATCAAATCTCTTCTGTATCATTTTAGAAATAATACTGTTTAACTATTACAAATCCAGTAAAAAAGGAACATTAGCAAAAGTAATCATTTCTGCTGATTAGTTTCAGAGTATCACACTCACTATAATGTCTACTTATGCTCACCTACCTGGGACTTGTCCAACACCCTACATTTTAAACCTCAATTTAAAACCACAGTTTAAAAAACATTAGAACTTCAAATGAACAAATGTTAGGTCAATACTTGAAACATGAAAAGTATTTCAACCAAGTACAAAATAATTTAAGAGTCTGCCCTCTATCTTCCAAACACAGCATTTATGTACTCTCATCATTATGTTGCCATAGAGACACTTGCAGGAACCATTCCATAACAAGCTCCTATCAGTCATGTTCAGCTCAACTATTTAAACATCAGTGGAAACAACACTTGGAAACTTTGAACGGATGCTTGAACAGATAGCTTAAGTGTAAAAGGGGTAAAGACTGTTCTTCCAAGAGACTTGCCTGCTACACTTCACATGGATGGCTTCTTTTGATACCACTGTGGTACCTAAAACTGTGGGAAAAGATCATTCCTTAGAAAATCTATAGAACCACATATACTGAAGTTTTAAGTCATTCTACTGCTTCTGGGAGATAGATGTGTTTGGTAACAGCTCATGAGATTAAGCAGTAAATTACATAGCTGTATCATTATACGTGCAGCTGGATAACAATTTCTTTCCATATACATTCAGAACTTATGGACTCAAGACACTGCCCTGAAAAATAAGATGGCAACTTACACTAAAAAGGGATTTGCAAAAGCAAACTTCAAGTAGTCTTACAAAGCATTAGCAGGTTAGTTTCACCTAAGTGGAAATCTGTGCCACTAAGAACTAACTGCATCCATTTCTAGAGGGCCATGTGAAATGACACATTTGCTCCTTCCCTTCTCAGTCGTATGTTTCAATAATAGGCCTGCAATATGCAAAAAGATCACATGCCTGAAACTGCCAGAGCTTGCTTCTTTCATTCTCACTGCCATCTCAAGAGTGTTCAGCACTTTCAAAACAGTAAGTTAATCACAATGCCTCTCTGGAAAGTAAAAAGCTCCACACAAGGAAAGCATTTCCTGCTAGCATCAATCCATCATCACGTGAAGCACACGTCAGTTTCCCATTCCTTCGCACTGCTGGCTTTGTATTGCATGTTTACATAGCTCCCCCAAGGCAGTTCATTCTCCACTGATGCATGGAGCCACGCTAACAGCAAGTTTGCTTTGTTAATGTGAAGGGAATGAAAGCTTCATTGTGATTTAATGTTCATGGTCCTTCAGCTTTATTTTTTATACACGCCACTGGAACGAAACTCTTATGATAAGCACAGAAAACCACAGCTCTAGTGTAAGGCTTCACAGAACTAGATGTGCTGCTGCAGTTCTGCCCAGAAGTATTTTGACTTAAATCTTCAAATCAAAAATTCAATCTCCTGTTGAGCTAATATTCAAATCACTCCCTTAGCCTCTAAGCAGCAAATAACAATTTTTCCAAAGTGCCAATAAACAGGCATAATCCTGAATACAAAATGCAGGGGAAGGCTTGGAATGAACAGCAGTTCATTCTTGAGTGAAGGCTCAGAAAGTCTCTGTTGCTTTTCCAAATACCTACAAACATGGAAAAATCTCTCATGCATGCTATGTTGTCACAGAAACTGGCAAGATTTTTCCATCTCAATCATTATTAACAGCTTTTGATGGATGTACTCACATTTCTCCAGGAGAATACTTTCTTTAATACTAATTTTAAGTTGTCTATTTTTACGGTTGTCCTCTTCTAAAGCTGTGCAACTACTGGTTTGATCACAGATGTGTCTTTGTTGCTACCACTAAGCTTTCAGCTTCTTACAAATATTCCTCTGAGCTTCTCCTGTACCTCATCCTCTGGGCTCTGAAGCCCAAATGTTCAGTATGGACAGTTTTCCAATACTGTAGTAACAACTGAAACCTCCTCCTTCTTTAAAATACAAAGGTCATTATATTTATTAGTCTGTCTTAGAAGATGCAACACAGGAAAATTTGTCTCATCCAGATATCTACAGTATCCTTTAGAGTAGATGCATATCTACAGCATGCTGGAATACTCTTTTGCCTTTGACCACAGAAGTGAGAACAACGGCCTTGCCTGTGTTTAAAAGGAAGGTGATTTCTTGCCCATTTTGCAAGATCACATGCCATTTTTATGAGGTAATTTTCCAAAGAGGTTGGCTACTTTAAGCTTGGAACTGCTCTCACTGTCAGTGCATTCCAAGTCCTCAGTCTCAGTTGCCTAAGGCAATAGCAGCAGGATAGTCAAAAGCATGCCTGTAATCAAGACATATGTGCCACGAGAGCTCCAGCCAGGAGCTTTCATATAGCAGACTAACTATTGTTTGTTTCCAGCATTCCCTTCCACATCACCAAACCTTGGGCAAGGAAGTTGCGAGGACAGATGTTTACATGACAATGGTAAATATCTAGAATATTTTAGCTAGGTAAATCTCAGTGTATCAATCTTAGAAAAAGAAACCTGCTTCCAAGTAGACAGCATCATTCCTTTAGTCCATTTAATATGGACAGCTAGAAAACTCTACCCAGATCTAGCCTCCAAGCTCTATTTTGCAGAATGGATCTCTGGGGAATATAAGCGGACAGAATTTGCATAGTGAGCACGTAATGATACACCAACTGTCTACAGCTGGTGGACCATCTACAATTTATTCTACTTCAATTAAATCTGCCTTCTGAAATTGTAGACAAATGAGAACAGGGGCGCGACACTTGAGAAATCCTCTTCATAGACTTCAGAACAAAAGCTGAGCCTCTGTACAATTACCCTCAAGTGAAACTGATACCCCAGACACCAAAAGCTGTACCAGAAGTGCAACACAAGTAAATCAGCTGAACAAAGTTCTGACCATCTATGATTAGGCTGTTTAATAAACTGGAGCCTCTCCCCCTCCTTTGCCAACCTCCTACAGGAGTTATTAGGTAAGCTTTCACCTTCATTTCACCATAAAGAGCTATAAATAAGCTCTTGAGTACATGTGCACCTACTGTGAATGATTTCTTTAAAATAAATGACAGCCCAAACTGTAGCTGATAGGTATTACATTATTTTAATCATCCCTGCACCTGAGCAAGCAAATCCTGACCTAGACTTCCCAACATGCTTTGCATCTGTGAACAGAACAAGTTGTGTTCACTGCCCTCAACAGCTAAAAGCAAGACATCAGTTGTGCACAAACTCAAGGCAGTACTGGACAATTCAGTCCAATTCCACAGAAACAACCAGTGAAATAAATACATAATTAAACATATAATTAAGACCAAGCCAACATGCTCTAGCAGCCATTTCTCTCTGCTACCACTACACTCCATCACCCTTCCCTAGGGACCCGATACTGCTCAAACTCAGCTCAGTGCTCACAGCAGTCAGAAGCATGCCAGCATTATCATTTTGTGTATGTCCTAGCCTCAGTCTGTAAGTTTGGTCTGCTAGCTCATCCTCTGGCAAATAAATAGGGGAAGAAAAGAATGTGAGATGTTTAATTCTTAGACACTACACTCGGTTTGTAGCAGCTTAGTTGTTGCAAGTATTGCAACAAATCAGTGCTTTGGGAGATAGCAGTCAGCTCAACAGGTTCAGAAAATAATTTTTGAAAGAGCACTCTAAATGGGCATTAAATGGATACGACCACACTCCAAGACAAAAGATTCCTGCAGTAACAGATTAGATATTGACCTTGAATTAAAAATATATATATATCTTTTTTTCCACGTGTGCTATCTTTTTACTTCATTTACTCTTCCTAAAGAAAGGGCAAAGTGATCTACGTTATTAAAATTGTTACTCTGAAAAAGTGGATAAACAGATGGACTACCTTGACTTTCCCAACACCACCACTACCAGCTAAACAATTCTTCCAAGCTCTCTAAACCTACTTGCCATTTAGATTGTTTTAAAATATTTATACACAATCTCAAAATAACTTCTGATTGAATAGGTACAAGTACGGTACAACTCTGCCATCATTCGGTATTTTAACAGACAGTGGACAGGAGAGACTTACAAGATGCATGCTCTGTTCTTGAAAGAAAACAAAATGTAATTCTGGCATAAGGCCTAAAGGCATCACATCATTAACAAGAGCGCAAAGTCTGACATGACAAAGATTTCCATTTCTTTGTGTTTTCAGAACGACTAGCAATTAATTGTTAGTGACATTATGCCGGCATAAGTTTTCTCTCAGTTCTTGCTTTTGCATTTGCTTTAGTAATTCACATTTCTGCTCACAATAGTTTACAACTCTGCACTTTGCAACTAGCTTTACTTTTAATGAGACAGTCTTTCCATATGTTTTTCACTGACAGCAGAGGTAAATGCATATCAGTGCACTTTTCTGAAGATGCTCTGGAGATAAAATGCTTGGCTCACAGGACTTTGGTCATACCAGCATTGCCATACTTAACTAACAAATTAGGGAGGATATGTTTAGCTTTCGACTAAGCAATCAAAACTAGTACGGGTGAGGCAGTTGATATAGCAAAGAAACCTTTCCACCAATAATTAGCTAATATTAAATTACTTTGAATATTAGAAGGCTGCTTCTTAATTATTTGCTTCCAGTAAAAGTGGAAAACACTCAACTGCTTTGTAGATTAAGACAATACATGATACAAACTTTCCAAATGGAACAGAAAACTCAAATATTCAGGAGCCTTCAAGTCAGAAACGTTAAGCTTCAAATCTTTGCCCTCTGAGCATAAACACGTTAGGATTAAATCCCTGTATTTTGCACCAAAAAGAAAAAAGACAGTCCCCCTTCTAGGATCCTGCAGCACATCTCAGTTTCTAAAATTACATAAACTTTATGCAAAGCAAATGTTCTTCAGTGACAGTTGTCATAAATTAAACTGAAACACTGGCCAAGGCAACTATAAGTAATGGTTCCAAGTAGCGAACGAACTTGGAAAAAGACTCAAGTATCTCAAATTTTATCCAGTTTCCTAGCAGAATCTCTGGCTCATCCTCTTCCATTATAATTAACCAATGAAAACAGAAGTGAACTATGCACATCATGACATCCCTGGAACGGCAACAGAAAATTCATTTTATTACTTTCCCATTTAAGCAAAGTATTTCTAGATTCTTTCAAATGAAGCTGCAGCAGACGAAAGGAAAGCCAGCATCATGTGATGTGCTAGCTCTTTGTGCAATGTATGAAGTGTTTTGTAGTCACTTGCAGTTCATGAGATGAGATGGAAAAAGACAGTAGTCTCATTTTACCACATGAGTGAAATCGGTAGAAATTGATGTGTGTTTAATGCTGTATCTAATGATTTCTCAGTGACTTTTTGGTTTTCAAGTAGCAAACTCTCGCAAGATTCAGAAATCATCAGGAGATATGACTTCTACCTTAAAAAGGCAGGCAGACCCCATGACATACTTTCCATCTTTACAGATGTACAAATTCATGGCATATGCAAAGCAGATGTTCCTGTTGTAGCACATAAGCATGTATGATACCTTTAGTAGGGCATATCTGTAAGAGGTGAACCGATTGACTGGAACACAGGATAGTAGTCACTAGAAATCATATTAAAAACTTATCTCTAGGTTTACATCAGGAAATCATATTCTAATGTCGTTAAATGATACTGAAATATGCCTGTTTTACATACATGTTTTCTCTCTGTGGCCTTCAGAGATTTTGCAGCATAGTAAAAGAGTTGGGTTCCACACAACGCTACCCAGTACTTTGTCCAAGATGCTACCTAGGGAGAACGGGGAAAAAACAAGCATAATATACAAAAGAAATGTTAAAGTATGCTTAAGTATGCTTGCCCCTTTCCTTTTTCATTTTATCCATAGCCAGAAAGCATACTCCTTTGACATGAATACCTATTTTGGTTTGTAATTAATCAGACAATTGCAGTGCAATCACTTAAGAGAGTTATTACCTACCGATAAGCTGTTCAGGAAGATGAAACATGTTCATCACCTTTAAAGTTATCAGTATTTGTATAAAATTTTAAGCTGCATTACACTTCTCTTCCACTTCCTACATAATGGGCGTATCCTCATAAACTGAATATCCACCAAACAGAAGAATGCAAAATCTAGCAGCTGACCCTAACATTTATCGGCAAGGCAAAGGAGAACTCAGACACTTTAATCAATTGCATGCTTGCCACTTATTTTACTTACAATTGAGCAAAGGAAGAAACTGAGAAAGTGAGGGTTTTCTTTCTCTTATAAGTAAATGAACAAATAAATAAATAAATAAATCTTACTGTGGGTTTTTTGCCTTCTTTCAACAAAGTCTTCCTCCTGAGAACGCCTTGAATAGTAACTGCTCCTGGATACAAATGAACAGCCAAATCTTCAGATTCTAGAGAGCTGAAAGGAGCATGTGAAAAAGTGTGTGAAAAGAATAGATTTTTCCTAGTGAAGTTCCCCAGTCATTACCTCAAACTACTGCAAACATCTGTATTTTAATTTATAATTGCCAGCTTCTTATTTATTAGACTTCATTGTGGAAAAAGACTTTGGCTGTTACGTGGAATTGCTGCAGTGGAATTTACACTCACAAGCAAAAGTGATCTGAAAAATTAGCCAAGCAGGTAGTCTTTAATTAAAAAAAGAATTAAAGCCTAGAACAACTCAAATTCAAGAGCAATTGATTTAACTGGCAAATGTTTGGAGTACTGTTGCTCTCTGTGTTAGAACATCTCCTTCAGTCCTTGCAAGAAAGATTGACAGTTTTCTGTTGTTGTTGTTAGAAACACTGGAATCATTAGCACATCAGAAAACAAAGCAAAAGCTCAAACATGCACAATTTTAAAAATATCCAAGAGCAAGAACAGTGAGCAGGAGCAGTAATAAAGAGCAGAAACCCAAACCACAGCTTTAAGGTGTTTTAATGCATCTGGTGTGCTCCTCATCCTGATCTAACTCACATAGGATACAGGAGCAAAGGGCAAAAAACAAATGCCAGCTACAGCACTGAAAAACAAAACTTAGCTTTATTACAGTTATGAAGCTGACTGGAGCATAAAACATTTTCTATCAGAAAAATTCACAACAGGAATCATTTCAGTAAGTGTCAATCAGAGCAAACAACTCAATGCTGAAACCAGCAGCTTTCTGGAAAAGCCAAGAAGTCATGCAGCATCTGAAACTTGTTTTGAAGTAAGACAGCATTTGCTGCTTTATCCGTCTTGCACTTGCACTTATTCAAGGTGAACTGGAAATCCAGCAAGCCTTTTCATTGCAGCACCTACTGAGGATGAGGATGTGGAGACAATTTTGGACATTGATGGGAACATGAGTTCAACTCAGTGAGACAATGCTTGCTTCTTAACATGAAAAAAATGCTTAGTTATCTGTCAGTTATTTCCCAATTACAGTGCCACACAGCTGCAGACAATGCTTCTCAGAAAAAAACTCAGAAGAATCAGTCATATCACTGTATCAGCTTTCAAAGAACACTGTATTATATAGAATTGGGACCAAATTTCATGCGTTACTCTGTTTAACCATCTCACTTGTCTTGGGGAAAGGGAATTCAATACATAACCACTAATAAAGAAAACATTCTGTGTGCTATAGTCATTAGCACAAGAAGGAACTTTGCTGTCTGCAGAACTACCAACACTACTACTACACAGTGGCACGCAGTTAAAAAGCTACCAATGGTAAAATACCTTTAAGCATGGATACAGAGACCCAGTGGTTCAGAATTGGGATTTGCAGACCAGAATGAACAAAAGCCCTTATGATGACACAGATTAAGTCACAGAAGGAAAAAGTTTTAAGTTTGAAGAAAAAAGGTCTTTATTTATTTGGACATGTAAGTTAAAAAGAGAACATCAGAAAACACCACTTAATTATTAAACCAAACCAAATCACCAACACCAGAGGGAAAGTCTGACACCTCTGTGTGCAGTGGGGATTGTACCTGCTGGCCTTCATGTGGCCTCGATAGCCATTTCGTGACACTCTTGTCCCCGGACCGAGAGAATGGTACAACCTGTTCCTGTTGGATTCCATTATAAATTGTATGTATTACATATACTTTTATTCACACAAACAGCACGACTGCTAAAACAGCTTAGTAATTTTCTTTTGTGTCCGTATCACAAAGCCAATTCTTCCACATAAAAACCAGGATAATTTTATTTACAAAAACACATGCAGAGGTAGATACCATGCCTTTTATTTGAACAGGTGTTCACTTTGTCAAAACTCATGATGCTGAGATGTTTTATCAGCACTGAAGGTGACCGTTGAGAGAAAAGCCTGCGTTTACAGCTTAGAAACTACATCTCTGTAAAGAAGGCATATTAATAAAACATTGATGTCTTAAAATTTTGACTAAGATGTTACTACAAAAAAGAACACATTTCTAATTCTATGAGCAGACACACACACACAAACTGTTGGGTTGAAGGGAATCAAAAGCTCTACCAAAATATCTTGGGATTGACTGACAAGAACTGTTCTTACGATACACTGAAGGAATCCAAGCAACATCTCAATTCTCCAATTCATATCAACATTCAGCTTTATGCACAGGCTTCACATTTTAGCACCTGTAATCTGATCTATCCTGTTATCTAGGCTTTGTGTTCTAGGCCTCCGTTTTGAATACGGCTTTGCTTTACTGAAAGTTGATTTTCTGAACTGAGAATTTACTGAATTCCATTTAAATCAACAGAAACATGCCCACTTTTTTCCCACCTCCTATTTTCATCCATTTTTTTCAAATTGAACATATTATGCTGAAATCCAATTCTGCAGAAAGCAGGTGATTAAGAACACGAGTGAGAAGCTTACAAGCAATATCTCCTAGATAGTATAAACCTAACAAATAACCTATCACTTGTCAGAAAAGCCTTGCATTAACTGCAAAGGTGCATTTATAGGGTCAGGGTGGTATGGGAATGGGAAGTCTAAAGAAGTAACACTGTTGTGTTCCAATCCAGATTCAGAATAGCAGGCAAAAAAGCCCCCAAAAGTAAAAGTCTTACAAAAGAGATGCAGTAAAGTTACAAAGTATTAAATGAGAAAAATAATGATTTCATTGTTGTCGTGGCTTTCTTTTGAAACCACATGAAACATTTCTTCTATTGCAAGAGGAATCACCAACATGGTACTAATGAATCACCAGCTGCAGATAAAAGATGTCTTAGAATGTATGAAATATTTTTTGTTTTTAAAGAGCATTCAAGATTTGGACAAATTAAGCAGTAACTAAGATGAAAGAAAACCTTTCTACTTCAACTAACTGAGTTGCATATATATGCATACAGCTATTTCACATGCAAATGAAGTAAGTTTTCTTCTTAACCTTACAATTCTTTTTTGCATAACAAGGAGGGCATCTCGCTTGGATTTGAACTATGTAAGGTAAATCTACTCAGAAACACTCAGGTTGACAACTAATAAGAATGAAGTGGCATTTCACATACTATCCTTAAAATGATACACTGCCAAAACTGGAAATTAAGTTCTTTGGAGTAATTTTGATTAACTTTAAAGGGATGAAAGCTGAAATGCTGAAAGCTCTCTCAAGTTTCAAAATAAGTTTACTCTTAAAAATACAAAAAACCACCACAGAGACTCCAGTTCTCCTCCCTTCTGCATCTTCCAGTTAAAAATATCTGGAGGGCCAGAAAAAAAAGACAAGAGTATTTGGTATTCCATACACTTCCTTCTGTCCCCAGGGAAACATGTATCTCATTTCTTCCCTTTGGGCACATTATTTCTACTTTATTTCTACTGTTATGCTGATTTGAGCTCTGGTATCCAAAGATCCTATTTCTAAATGGGGAACATTGAATTCCCACTTGCATGGCACAGGCACAGTCATTAGGAACACTGACTGCACCCCTGTTTGCCAGTATCTGTCAATTCCAGACATGTTTATGCCTTGATGAATAATTCTATTAAGAGTGGTAGCCAGACTGATAAAAATTGCAAAGATGTTCTTTCTAGTGATCGTACCATCTTAATATTTGCATTTCAGTTTATTATTTAAATTCACAACATACTTCAGCATCTTATAAACCAAAGAACAGATGCAAGGCTGTTGCATAGCCAGGAATTTCACATTTTCTGAATGTCTGTTAAGAAATCAATCCTTGCTGGAAGAGAAGGAGAGAACTTGTCATCAAAAACATGGAACTTCAAGTGGAATTACCAAGGTGCCCTTCTGAGGAGGAAGGAAAATACTGAAGGAATTGGGAATTTAGAGGAAAAAAAAAAAAAATCTTCCGACATACTCATGTTGGACACAAAGCAACATTTTTAACTAGCAGAAGTCAGGACCAGTCAGTTCTCCTCACAACATGGATGAAAAAAACCCTGCTTTATCTCAAAGGTCCACACAAACAATCCTGGAGAGTGCTGCTGTTCTCTAGAATCGTGAGATACACATTGAGACTTACTAAAACTTAAGGTTTTTTCTTTTGTTGTTACTTGAGGAGCACACAGCTGAATTCGTCACTTGTGTCTAAAGCTTTCCCATAAAATTTTTGATTGAATAACTTGAACTTGATTAATTTCATAATGCAGCTGGGAAGTTCAAGTAAGATGAAAATCTCTGAAAATTTCACGTTGCATAAGAGAGCACATAAAAGTTACACATCTCTTTTCTGACCCAACATTCTTTCTGTGCTTATATGGAATGTTTTTATTTCTTACCTAATGAAACCTTGATGGTGTTTCCTTGTGCATATAATCATATTTATAGGACATTAATGTTCAACTTTGGCAGTGAGAGTGATTCAAAATTCAAAATTTTCAGCCCTAAAGTAACACAACTTGAATTGCTTAAATTCAAATAGAACAAAGTCTGTGATACGGTTCCTGACTACAAGTCTCTTCAACTAAAAAACTTGTAACAAGCATGTCTTCATAGCATGGTAGAAGTTATCCAAGGCAGTTCTGAAGCTGATGGATAACCTGAAATCAAGTTACTGAAGCAAACTGAGCACTTTACGCACATCTTATCAAGCTGTGGGATGATGAAACTTCCAACTTTTTCCTACAAGGTGCAGCTGTTAGTCTTCTTCCACATTCTCAAAAGCCATGAGAAAGGACTAAATTGGGCAATATAGCTGAGTATATGCAGGTATTAGGATAAGGGGCAAGATACTAATTCTGAACCACAGAAGACGTAAGTAAGGTTTGTTACTGTGCTTTCCTATGTAACGGAGGCAAGTAACAATGGGTTCAAGAGGACATGGGAGAAAAAACAAGTGAAGATGTCAATGACAAGAACAAATGGAACAAAACTGGATGAAGTATCTCAAAGAAAGTGAAAATCAACAGGTTACATGAATACCATACACAAGACATGCAAATATATAAAAGAAGAAAGATCATTTGGGGTTTAATGATACTTTTTAGAAGTATCTTTTTAGAAGATCTTTTTAGGCTGATCTGTGTAGAAGAATCTGCGCAATGAGTAGGCATTCAATTAGACAAAACTCTGTTTTAACTACTAGTGAGCAGAAGGTACTTCTCTGCTGCCTTACCAGATTCAGCACTCCTCTTTAGAGTTTTATTAACCTTGGCTCTCAAATTCTCACAAGTGATCTACAGATCACTAAAATAAAACGTCATTTTCAGGACTGAGAGATTGTAAGCAGTAATATTTCAATAAAGAAATGCAGTTTGAGAAAGTTTTTCTTACCTTTCAAATGCTGGCCAAGAAGTTTCTTCACTGAGTTCAGAACCATCACTGCTACCTTGAAAAAAATAAGAACGAAAGATAACTTCATTTCATCATCTACAACTCAACTACTCCTGATCTGGCTGTTTCTCCTCAGAATATTTAAGATTAAATGCATAACATACTTCACCAAAACACTACAGTGAAAATGATTAAGGGTTTGCTTCAGGAACCTCACGTGAAATTGAAGTAGAGATTAAAATGGACTGCACCTAGGTGCACGTGAAGAAGATAAACATAAGGAATCCTACCTAATAGGAGAAAGGACATTTTGAAAATGTAAGGATGATCGTAAATGCTGATTTGTCTAATTAACAGCACATGCACTTTAAAAAGTATTTAAAAACTGACAAGGTAGTGTCATGTCTAGTGTTCTTAAAAGTGAAAACAAATAAATTAATCAATACGCATACAAATCTGTTATTTGCTTTCCAACAACCTGAAGGAAGTATCTGACAAATATCTGTTTTCTTTCAGGGCTTTAACAGGTACAATTTTAGCTGTTACAGTACTTATAACTACTTCTACTTATGCTGTTCAAGTAATTTCTGTCATTTTTTCAGGCACTTTTGAGGATTTATTGCTGAAGGATCTGTTGTTTTAGCACTTTGACTTGAAAATTTGCTGGCTCTTCTACTTGAATATATTTAAAAAGTTGTTTAGAATTACTTTCAGACAAACTTAAAAAAAAAAAACAACAAAAAAACAACAAGAACACAAGCCAATCTGAATCAACATGCCTTTCTTATGGGTTCCCATAGTAGAAGAAAGGCTGAAAATAACAAGTTCCCTGTGATTTCATGCAGAAAAATCAGGAGGTCAGTTGAGCCCTGAAGAGTTAAGCAGTCTGTATATTTCTTGAGTAAATGCAGAGTAAAGATGGAAGCAATTCTCACACAGCAGGAGCAATGCAGTCTGAGCAATGAAAGTCTCAGCACTGGCTGTACCTCTCTCCATGCAAAATTTAAGAGAAACTACATGCTTTTACCTGCCAACCAATTCAACTTAGCCTGCTTGCCAAACATTAGCTCAACATCTTACTAACATGATCTAGCACAGTTCTCCACGGAATACTAGATTATTTGTCTCTCCTTGATTTTGCCCTGAAAGGAACATCCTAGCTTGCTTCAAACTAACAAAAAGGTAACTTATACGGTAGAAGCAGCTAAGAGACAACAAAGTGATGGTGGAAATACGGGCTCCTATGCCAGGCACAGACTGCTGTAAGAAAGAGGAGTATAAGACTCAAGGGGTGACTAAACATTTTCTAGAAGTGTCTTTAATATTTAAGTACTTACATGCTTCAGCATTTAACTACTTAAAAGTTACAGCAGCAGGCAGCTGCTGTACAGTTGATGTCTGTGATTGTTTCTTTGCCATATTTATGAAGATTTCATGCTTCTTGATTATTTACCCTCTATATGGAATAGCAGATTGGTACAAATCCTTTAGATTTGTACATGCATTCTGCACTGTCTCTTGTTTCACAATAGCTGGGTTGTAAAGGGACTGATGGAACAGAAGCAGCTTAAACAAGACTCCAGAAAAAATAGTCACCGTAGATGGCATCATCCAGCAGCTGTGAGGACAGCACATCTAGGAGCCACTGTTACTACAGTGGAGTAAGAGTTCTTACTTCAAGTAACTGCACAACAAATTCTGTATTACGAAGGTTTGGTTTTTTAATAAATATTTGAACAGGATGAGATGTTAAAACTTTATCCGAAATGACATTTTGAAGCTAACTACATTGGCTTTGCTAAGAGAGTTATATATCAAACACTATGCTAAGTATTCTAACAAAAACATTTAAAAGCAAGTGCTGCTTTTAGAAATGCAAAACAAACTACTGCTGAAGAGCTGGAACGTCATCTTTCAGAAAGTGATAATCCCTGTGACACATTCAGAACAGTGAGAAAACTTGCATGTATTCTGGGGGCTCAATCAAAAGGTTTCGTTGATAAAGCAATGACACTTCTTAAAGCAATGTTAATTTAGAAGAAAGCAGAATAACCATCCCAGCTATGCAGATGCCTATGCTGGTCTCAAAGGAACTGTAATAGAAACCTGGAAACAGCTGAAGTTTAGCTCTCAACTCACTCTCTTTAACAGTTACACGGAACATATCTAATGGGACTTCTTTCAGATTCTAAGAAACTCAACGTTTTCTGCATAACAAAATACATTAAAAAAAGAAACTTTCCTCAAAAGAAAAAGATGTATTATATCCCTCAATTCAAAACAAAACAGAGTGAAAGGAACTGTTTAACATACTAAAAATTAGATGCCTAGCCAAATTCTGTTTAAACATTAAAGTGCACTATTTAACCACCACCTCAACTGGAAATATTTCATTCATTCACTACTTTAAAAATATATCACCTTCTTAAATTTTTCTCAAGTATGTACTCAATATTTGTTTTTTTTTCCAACAACCTCAAGCAGGTCTTCAGGTTAAACTTAACAAGAAATTCTAGGCAGTTCAAATCATTTCTATTAAGTAATCTGCACGAGTTCTGGTTTGATTTAAGAAACCACCTGACACATACTGTTATCTTTCTAGTTTCCTTTATTACTAATAACACAAATACTACAGAGCAGAAAGGCCTTTTCCTTCCCCAGGAACAGCAGCAATTGCTAAAATGGGCTTTTGCTCACTGTGCTGACAATCAGTGGAGAACTTTCAGGACTGCTTACCCAGAGCTCCAGAACTGCAGCTGAATACAGAAGTGAATTTGCTGGTTGCACTTCTAGATACACATACACATGCCTCTGCTACAGCCACCCAGAAAGCGAGGCTAGGCTTCCACTCCCGTGATAGGGAATGCCTAGACCATGGCATACCCATTCCCTCCCACCAATCACAGCATCCATTCGTTGCTGAAAGTCTGAGGATATGGAACATTTAACACAGGCTTCCTTTATCCATAAGTTAGTCCCCAAAGTTAAACAGGTGTTAATATAAACAAACCAACCCCAAAGAGCTTAAAAAGTATTCAGACTAAAAATTCTTTCCCCTTCTCAAATCTGCAACTGACACTCTTTTGGCTCCAGTTACACAGTGTTTCCAGAGCTCTAGTCACTATAGCCAGTGACTGACCTGACAGAGCTTGAAATTCTAATGCAAAAACATAAAATACTGGTCAGTAGGCCTGATCCTCAATTGTTGCAGCACGGTACAGTCTAGCAAATGCCATGGAGATGGGCTTTGTGTCCTGAAAACTTTCTGCCTTGTTAAGTCTATTACTATAACAAAATTTCTCAAATATTTTAACTTGTTCAGTATCATGTACTGTATGACAAAATTTAAGGAGCTCAACACTAATGGTGTTAAGACTGACTGATAACTCAATATACTGCCAGAAAATCAACACACAGACATAAAATATAACTAGTAACTACTTTCATCCAGCTAACAAAAAGAACAGAAGCCATAGGATACAGATGGGGCAAAAACAGGTTGTGCACAGCTGCACTGGTCACAAAACACAAACAGTGAATGCCCTCTACCAAACACTATTAAGGATTGGGGAAGGCCAGGTGCTGAACGTCCCTTTTCTCTACTCAAATCCACGTATCCAGATGCATATTTTTAATTTGAAGAACTTCACAACTCTGCTTTTCTTTTTATTTTTTTTTTATTTAAACCATATCCCTAAGAAAGTAGTAGTTCACAACAGCAGAGAAGGGGTAGCCACAATTACAGCAAGAGATTGGCACCTACGTTCTTGTGTGAAAAGAATATTATAAAAAATAAAGAAAATACTACTTCTGCCTGTAATCCTACCCAACTTTGACCTTCTCCATCTGACTGCTGACGACTCAGGAGTCCTAAACACCTGAACAGTACATGATGGGGTAAGACTCAAACACACACTGGCTGTGTAGAGTTCTTCCCTACTGTAAAAGCTGCCAAAAAACTGAAAATATGCATGCTGTATACCTACACCTATACTTCATTTATTCAAAGAGAAATATAATCTCTTGTAGGATTCAACTGCTTCATGATGGAGAATTAATAGACGAATTCAATAAGAAGTTGATAGCCTTGTAAGCATTTTATGCCAGTTCAGATTTGCCAAATGTACTGTTCCCACAAAGCCATTTTCTTACATTAATTTGCATTGATTTCAAACACCTTTCTTAGACTATGGCGTTAATTTCACTGATTGCATTAACATAAAGGCTCAAGTTATCCTTGACCAACTGGAACACACAACAAAATACAAATGCTTCATAGCTTTAGTTTTTCAGACCTTCACCCATAGCACTGCAGACTAGGAAAAGTAAGAAAAAAAAAGGTCTAGGAAGAAAAGACCAAAGTTAAAACTTAATTTGCATTTGAAACTCTTACAAATATGATCTAGAAATGTGTGTTCTTTGAGTTTTTAAGCATCTAAAATTTAACTCTCAATTTCAGCTGTTTCTTTCTGTGGTCTTACTTTTATAACAACACTTAACTGGTGTACCCATGAGAATGCATGTTCAGAAACCTCTCAGGCAAATTTACCCTGCATCTGGTATGCTGGCTGGTATAAAAGGAGAAAAACCACACAGAAGCAATATATGAAGAGGTGATTTTACACACTCCCTTCACTTCTGCAGAATTATTTGAACAATCAAACAGACGCAGAATACAGCTTGGCTGAACTGTGCTGGAAATCCCAAACTTCTATAAACATGAATGAAGGTAAACAATGCTGCAGAGATACCTGAAGACACTTGAGTATGTGAAGAATTAAAAAAAAGAAAGTATAAGTAAATCAGGTAGTGCTAGAAAACAGTATTCTTAAAAAAAAATCCAATAACCTTATGAATAAAATAAAGATTTACGCTATCTGTGAATGCAACCATGATCTGGCTGCCCAGGGAGGTTGTGGAGTCTGCTTCTCTGGAGATGTAAAAGACCTGCCTGGATGCCTACCTGTGCGACCTGCTGTAGGGAACCTGCTTTGGCAGGGGGGTTGGACTCGATGATCTCTGGAGGTCCCTTCCAACCCCTACAATTCTGTGATTCTGTGATCCAAAGAAATCCAAAGAACCGAAGTATTTTAAGGACAAGAGTCATACAAGCTTTTTTTAGCTGCCCCCTTGAGAATGAGATGAATCACACCCTTGAAGATACCATCTCTCCACGTGATTATAAAAAGCTCCAGATGACTAGCTCAAATGCAGCTGTTGAAAACATGAATGTCTAAACCTCAGATGAGACAAATCTCTGTTGTTAACATTTCTGAATTCATGTAAACATTTCCAACTTCATATTGGGTATGCCTGCTCTAGTGTTTCTTCTGCTTAGAATATCTGCAGCACTGCTGGTCTTGCTCAGATAAAATCGCAACGGAACCAGCTGCACATCTGGCTACGTTACTCTACAATGACGATACTGCTGCTGATCTGCTGATTACTGAGTGAAAGCTTCTATCATAGATAACTGGCCAAATACAAATGGAAGAATCCTTAAGTATATGAAGAAGCAGTACACTGGAGAATCTTTGTTTAAAAATTGCTTTTCTGAACTGCGAAAGGACGACAGTTGTTAATCAGCAGAAAAGGCAACCAGCACAAGGTCTGACAAAAAAGAAATTTGCATGCTCCAATGATTTTGATCAGGCATGTTCAACCTGCAGGCCACACCTGGCCCCACATGATCACGAACTTAAACATTATTATGTCATTTTTAGTGATATTTTTCATGAGATGATTGTGTGTAGCACAGACCACATAGGAACACTGTGCAGGGGAGGGCACAGGGCAGTGCCAGCTCTTCCCCATGTCTGCCACATACACTCAGTCAAAACAAAACCCACACATACTGCATTACATACTACATTACTGTGCCACTTGGCAAGTAAAATGGAGAGATTGCTGATAACATTTCAACCTACACACATGTGTGCCTGTGAAGACGTGTGTTTTTTTTGTTATTAAGTGGACATGTATGATTTTTTAAATTATCAGGACAAAATGCTAAAAAGATTTTATGATTTGCAAAATGAAAAGTTCAAACAGCTCTGAGCCTCAAAACAAAAGAGTGATTTAATGCATAGTGAAGTGGCAGTCACCACTAAGGCCACATTCAAGCTGCTGGTGTATCAGAAACAACAGCCACATTTTGAAGAGGAATCATTTGTCCAAAAAACTTCAGTCCTGTATGGGCTTTTATCTAAGAAAAGGCAGTCCTGTTCCCAGAGCAACAGTCTTAAATCCACGTTTATGTACGGAGAGAAGAATAACACTCTTTTCAGTGCATACCTTCAGAAGTTTTCTTGTCCATCTTTTGAAGTTGTGTAGAACCTGTTAAACCACCTCTGCTGCAGTGACTGTACAACTTCCAAGTACTGAGTAAACAGAACACTTTTGAACTTCAAACCTGATGGAGGAACTTAAGCAGCTTCAATCGACTTCTTTAAATACTGTTGAGGCAGCAGTACAGAATGCCAGACAACTAAGAGTTCCAAGAATTCTCCATTAATAAATACTGCAAGCCTCTATATAATTTACGCTATATACGCATTTCTATTTTCTTTTATGTATTTATCTATCTGTCTTTTGCATCACAGAAATTTTTATAATCAAGAGGTAGCAAAAGCACTGATGATGCTGGACTCTGTCAAAGACTGATTAAAAACCTGAAGTATCTGAACAAAGGGAGATTGGAGGTGGAAGAGAATTGAAGAGGTGAAGCTCTAACCACAAATGGTGATCTTCTGCAGAGCACTTAAGGCTGATGTTTTACAAGAGATTTTAAAAGTCTTCTAAAGGGGGCAATTTATTCCAGCTTGTAAGAGTGACTTATTAAGTTGACAGCTGACGGTTGATCTAAGCAATACAAAAAGTTGTAAGATCCACAGATTAGACCAAATAGGAAACCCCTGTGTCCCCCAAAACATCTAGATGGTGACAGGTTCCAAATTATACCATGTGAAAAACTGCCTGTCAACTCTGGCAAACTTTTCCTGCTCAACTCTAATGAAAGCAAAAGAATAACCTAGCCTGAGAAAAGGATCATCTGTAGAAGTTTATTGTATTATTTAGACTGAAAACATCAAAAGTAAACAGCTAAAGCACCACATTAAGGATTCAAATCAACTACACTAAGAAAATGACAATGCTACATCTCAAAGTCGTATTTCCTCCCTAAACCCTGCATAATGCTGAAAAGTTTCTAGGATGACAGTAAACTGCATGAGGAGCTTTGATCACCTGTATGGTGCAATCCCAGAGAAATGTGAGCTGTGTGCTGCTTAAAAGCACCACCGTTCCTGCTGGATGATTATGGCAACTTTTGCCAGAGCAGGCAATCTACAGACAACTGTCAAACAGTACACATTTAATAGTGGAAGCCATCTACTCTGATTTAAGCTAGTCCCACCGATTCTCTTATTAACATAATTTTAAAAATCACTGCCCCCAGGTATTTGATTTTTCACAACAAAAATCTGGTGTTTGCTCAAATTATGGCTTTCTTCTCAGTAAAACACAAGAGCAATTCCTGAAAACTATAATTTGAAAATAGATGACCTTGTTTCTCTTGCTGGGGGAGAAAAAGCAGAGGTGCTTTCTACAGTTACATCATCCAAGTAAAGATATATCACTACAAAAATCCTATGTTTCCATAACCGTGTAAAAAAACTGAAACACCCTACCAAACAAATTATTTCAAGAAAAGGTACTGTGGCAGAAGTTTAATTTCTCAACTCTGGCTGCAGTCAGGTAGATCTGAGAAGCACCTGCCTTCTTCTCCCCTCCCTTTACGTTCCTGAGGGAACAGGAAAAAAGAGCAACTTATGGCCCACCAGAAACTCAGGAAGCAAAAAGGATACCTTAAATATCTGAAGATAAATAATTTATCAAAATGAAGTCTATTCGGACATTTTGAAGTATCTGAAGGTTAAACTGCTATCTGCTCCTGCCAAGATCTAAAGGCAGTTATCAATTATGCTTCTAAAGACTGTCAGCAACTTACAGTTCTGTCAGTTTTATAAGGCATTTCAAATACATACCCTGAGACCATTTTAATTTAGACCCATCTCGCGGGGCGGGAAGCTGGAAGAGAGAAAAAACTATGAAAAGGTGTCGTGTACTTCTCTCCACTCCAGGAGGTAGGATAGAGGTAATGAGGGGAGTATCATTTAAGAGGCTATAAAAATAATGGCCCACTTTTTAATAATTTGTTACCCTGTGGTTTATGCTATACAATTTATACTACCTTTCCACACCTACATTTCTCAAGTCTGCTCTAAAGTAGAATTGGCATTTTAGAATAGAACCACTGCACATAATGTCCATGCTAAAATCCTTACTGGAAGACCATTTACTGCACAAGTATGCTTACAGTTCCCACCTATTGAAATTCCACTAGAAAGGGTGGAGCTTTCTGCCTGCCCTCTCGATGGGACGTGAGGCTCCATGACGCTGTCGTCCAGCAGGTGCCTTGGTCCTGCGTTAGGGAATGTTGCGCTTTTGAATTCAGCTGTATTCATCTTGTGTATGAAACTAGGAAAAAATAACAAGAAAACTTACATCATCTCTGATATATTTCAGAAGACGCTGCTTTAACATGCTGAAGGATAACACGCAACGTGTTCCAAAAGCCTAACAAAAAACATGGTGCAAGTGATAAATTGTTGCAAACAGGCATTTAGACGGGTGGCATAGGGAGCTGCAACACTACATAAGTGACAGGGCACGAACACTATTACCTGAAGGAACTGCTAGTGTCAAAACTACACAGTGCTCTTTGAGCCAAGAGAAAATTAGAAGGCCTTGAATTATTTTTAATATCGAAAGGCCTTATTGTCTTATGTAGCACTCACATGATTAAACTTCAGAATTTCATTCTAGCCTCATATGAGCATCTAGCAACTAAACTTATAGAATAAGAAGGTTAAAGATGAATTACAGACAAGTTACCTTCTTGCATTTTGAAAAAATGAGAAGGGAAGCAATGAGGTAATTATCAAAATATCAGATGCACAACTAGATGGATACAAGAAACTCATACCACCAATATGCAAAGTCATAAAAATCTACAAAGGAGCTCTCTCACTACAAGAATAGAAATGAGAACTTCTTTTTAAAATTAGAACTGAAATAAGATAAACTCAATGGCATTTCATTAAATGGCAGTTCTGTCAGTTAGAAAAATCTATTTTTACTAATTTACTAGCTATTATTCTAGCAGACACACAGGCTTCCTAGTTTAACTAATTATCGGCTGTGACACTAGCACTACCGTTCCGAATTTGAGCTCTAGGCACGAACTGATCTGCAAGTGAAATACTGCGTACAAACCACAGCATTTTAAAACAAAGCCTTTATATTGAAAGATAATACATCAGAAGGCTCAGGATTTTCAGGTTAAATAAAATGCTGACTTGTATCCCAGGCTGTGACACTTCCTATGCCCATGCGGAATCAAGTTCCGAGGTGAAGGGGGTGTTGGCGGCAGCAAGGCTCCTTCAGCTGCAACATTTTTCCGTCCACTTTGTGGCGATGCTCCAACTTCAGAAGCTGGGAACAAAGACAACATTACTTCCAAGTAATATTAGAATTATTATCAGGGATACTTCTAAGAAAACTGTGGACAAGATGCAAAGACCTTTCTAAACTCAACTAGCAAGAGGTGCCCCGTAACAAAATTTAATGACGTACTCCTACTGATATTTAACTGACACAGCTTCTTAACAAAACCTCTCTCTTTACAGATCAATTCAGAATTTTCATTACCAATGTACAGTGTTTAGACATCATGCTTCTTTGTTAGCCTAAAGTAAATTGGCTACACAATCACAACTCAAAAATAATGAATTTGGCAGCACGAAGTCTTTTCACAGCTACTGAGCACTTACCTACTAAATCTTCTCTGGAAGCAGCAGAGTGGGGGGTGCTGGTACCTGGTTCTATCTTTAACGAAAGTCTGCACCAAAGGAGAACTAAAAATTAGCAGGAAATAGAGGTGTGCAAAAGGAAGAGTTTTGATACATATGTAAGTTTACAAATTGAACGTTTCTTGGTTTTGTCATTGCAAGAAACAATATGATGTCAGCATACATCTTGCAGCTGTGTTTAGCATACGTTATATCCAAACACTTTTTTTCTTTCATGTGGAAAAATGACTGCAGCAGGGCTCTAGGCTTAGAACACAACATATCAAGGCATAATATAGTAAATGAACCCATCGCTTTGACTCACACAGACCAGAACAAGCAGTACCATGTTGAAGGAGGATTTAAACCAATAGCAAAACTTACACTACAGCAAAGCGCTGCAACTTCTACTGATGATCTTTAAAGTCTTTTCCAACCTGAGCAATTCTCCCTGCCTGGGAACAAATATTTATATTCACTGTACCCTCAAGATTTTGTTTTTGCTATGAAGTGGGCCAACTCACTTGTCTTTACTGTTACAAAGGCCAAAATCCTTCTTTGGCTTTTCATAAAATATATTATCAACTTGCTTGCATCGATAATTCAAGCTTTTTCTACAGCAGGCATTTTTAAATGCTATTTTCAATAGCACTGTAAAGGAGGCAGACTCTATAAATATCTAACATCTCGTTTGCACAACTTGCAGAACTATAATCTTTGAAATTAGTAAGCATGGAAAAGCATCTATTTATTTTTAGGGAGAGTTATGTTTGAAGTTTGACAGTTCCTTTCCCTCCCATCACCAGACTGCTCAGCAATGATTGATTACAAGTTCAACTTTCTTAAATAAAATCCTTCAGTAAGAAAAAACGTGGACTTGAGTCACAATGACTGTTCTTCAGTTTCAGCCTTTTCCAGACGCTTTAGGAGATAAGAAGTAAAACAGTTACTTAGAGTAACAGTGGCTCTTCAGAATACACTCCTCTCACACAGAAAACATTTAGACTAGAGACATACATGGCCCACAGGTAAAACGTCTACTCAGACCTTCTAAACAACAGTCATGTTTCTGTACTACTTTCAATTGTCTCAGTCTCCCTGCTATCAAAATTTGGGTTGTACAGGGTGAACAGGCTGTAGCTCCTTCAGCAATAAAATTCCCTTCAGTACATATTCCTGCCTAAGGAAGAAGGAAGGTAGAAACTGAATTCAAGAAAAGAATCTTCCAGTAAGAATCAGACACTGCAGTTCAACTTGAGGGTTTGTTTTAAATTGCAGTGCTTGACCACAAAGCTTTATTCAGTGATAAGTAAGAAACACTTTCTAAATCAGGCTATAGAATATTTTGGTGAAAAAAAATAAGGCTGGATACTTGCACAAAAATGCACATAGCGTGCTCCAAAGAACAACTCACAAATCTTAAAGGATTATACACATGAAAGGAAGTTAGGTGGTTAAACTCCTGCCAACCATCCTTTGACATAAACGTAAGGGTCCCTACTTACTGCCTTTCAATAAATCCACATTAGACCTATAAACAGTTTACCATTTAACAAATTGTTATTTCAGAAAAGATAATCTGTCCCTTTAGCAAGCATGCCCACTCCCACCATTAGAATGCAGCTACACAAGCAACTGATTCAGCACAACTAAGGTGACAAACTTCCTGGGCAGGCAGGATGGGAATGGGTGGGGAACCTCCTCAAGCAGATCAGCCAGTAGCAAACAGAAACCTTCTTCATATGTAACAGATCTGCTGCAGGTCGCTTCCTATCCTCGGGGCTTGTTCCTGTTTCTTGCCAGAGATTTCCAACCCCTAGTTTTTGCTGGATGCCAAATCACTTAATACAGTAATAATCTTTTCATTAAGAAATTGGACGCCTCTGTCTAAGGTGGCACACTTTTTGGGAGGGGCAGTCAGATGCACAATGTCTCGATTCTCAAAAATCAAGTGTTTACATTTCGCACTGTGTAACCCAACCCAAGGATAAAAATAAAAAATGGGGATTTATAAAAGTGAAAGCCTTCAGTAAGAACTTGGGACCGGGATGCATAGATTAGTGCGTCATTTTTCATCAGAACAAAGTATATCTGCATTCTGCTCAGCCAGTAAGATGAACCCCACGACAGAGCATTAGGTGTGAGCCACTGGGATGGGCTCTTCATTAACAAACACTTAGAGGACTGTAGATTAATTACAGTCAGACAGAAAAGGAAGAAACCATGCCATCCAGCATGCTGTTATCCTATCTTACCAGAGGACCTTGCTGTAACCTCACAACTTGCAACAGATGCTCTGGAAGCAATTGCCTGCTGTAAGCAGAATTTTAGAAGTGACAGGCTTTATGTTCTGAAGTTCTTTTGTCATGAATTACAGTCAGTTACAGCATTCCATACTTACTTATAATTGTCATCTTCTACAAACTTTTGTAGTTCTTCTATGTACTGAACCGAGTTTAGATATTTCTGGACGTGAGGCAACAGAGGAATATCTGGAGAACAGATGACATTCATTATCACCGTACCGTTCAGTAAGCAAAGTTCTTTTCCAGAAAGTATTTAAACAGAATCAGATCACTTACCTTTTAATGTGAGACAGAGGTACAAACTACAGTTTCTATTGCTGCTGAATTTTGTAGTCCTCCAAATTCTCATGCACTGAGTTTACATTCTCCACTTACATAAACCAAGTATGTTTCCCTGTAGAGCACTTTGAGCTGCTCTGCTTATCAGATTATGTGGAAGTGAGATGTGGGAGAGAACCCCTGGCCAATCTGAAGTTTCAAACCTGTAGGACTCTATCTGAGGGCTCCTTCACAGACCACATTCTCATTATATTGAGCTTTCAGTGGAGCCACAATCCTCTGCTAATATCACATTCCACCATCCCAAATGCAGCTTTACAACTTCACTAGAAATTGAAGAGAGGGACTGTGAGGGAGACCACCTTTGAAGAAACAGTACTTTATCTGATGCACAAACAGCACTGTAAATGTCCAAAAGGCAAGCTGTACACATTTTTATTATCTCCAGTAAAAGAAATACTCCAAAAGCAATCTTAATATTTTTAGAAAGCATCATAAAGTTATGGAACACAGAGATGTAAGTTATACAGCATGTACCAGAAAAACTACTATTAAATGCAATGTATTCCACATTTTCCTCTAGAATGTACGTACTGCAAACGTGTGTGCGACTTAAGGAAAAGGGAACTTTACTCTTTTATCCCACGCTGATGCTCTATCATAACTAACAACATCAAAATAAACTTTTACACTTTTGAACTGAGAGGGCAAGGCAGAAAGATGATGGCATACGAAAGGGTTACGCCTTGCTTGCATAGTATTACAGAAGAGAAATATCAAAGCTTTTGAGGTTGCTCTTTAACACCGCAGTATTCACACGCTAGCTTACCATATTCACAGGACTGTTGTAAGTCTGAGATAATTCGTAGGATGTTGTTCATTAAGTTTGTTCTTTGCTCACTTTCCAGAATGCTCCCCGTCGATGGGTATGCAGAATCAATGTACGTCAAGTCTGACAGATAAATACCTGAGCAAGATTAGAATGGAAGATTTCCTTAGTGTCTCACATTTACCAGAAAAAATTGCAAAGAATATTTCAAAGAATTTCTTGCTTTCATCGACAAATTACCTCAGTAGGTTATTTTGGATATGCTCGAGATCTTTGGCAAGATGTACGAGAGCCTTCAGACCTCAAAGTAAAACAGTAAGAATGCCTGGACTTCCAAGAAGACACACCACCATACCTCCTCTGTCCGGGATTGAATCTAAGTTCCGCTCCATGACTTAGTCCTTAGTTTTGGTACCCCTAGCTCAGCTGTATTTGTAGACGCCGTGCGTACAGACACATGGTTTTCTGGCACAGAAAGTCTCAGCGGGACAGAAAGGATCCTTTTTTTCCTCCTGCACTGTGCCAGGCATGCACTAGCTGCCTTGAACACTGACAGCATCCTTCCAAATTCTGAAGTAATTACAAGAGCTATCTGAGATTACACACAGCTACTCATGCACCTATTCTTCTGCCACACTACCAGCAAGAAATTCCCCTTGACAATTATGAAGTAATCACATAATGCTGAAATACCTGATTAAGTTGACTAAGGTTTTTAGAGAGCCTACTACTTAATTCCTCCAAAATTCCTCCACAAAAAAAGCAACAGAAGAAAAAAACATCTCATCTACAACTCCTCAACCGGAATGAAAACTCACACTCAACTTGTAATATGGGAAAAGTTAACTAGGCAAGAAGTGCATGCATTAAAACACAGTATGAATTGTGCAGTTTATATTCACCATAACTGCTAAGACCCAACCTTATTCTTAGGTCTTCAAGTCTTATGTCTTTTTTCTTCCTCACCAGCATCGTAATTTCACCATTCTTTCGTCCTTTGATTATGCACAAGGGGCGAGTCCTCCTCCGTGTGAGTTCCTGTTACTGATACACTGCTCATTTTGCTTATTTTCATTCTCCATCTCTAGAATTTCACCTAAAGCCTAACCTTTCTCAGCCCAATTAAATGAAACACCCTGACCAACTAATCCTGCCATTAAAAAGCAACTGCGCTTCTACATCTTTCACAATATAGAGATCCTACATGACTATAAAAATATCTAAACTTGAAAACATTATTGGAGAAACTTGTTTCAGTCATAGGGAATTTTTAAAAGTATATTTTGCTTCATGCTCAGACTTGTATAACCAGAATCATAACAAAAAGCGTGGCTTTACAGGTGGAAGGCTGTTAATACAATCTCACTAGAACAGCAGTCGTGTTTGTATAGCACCCAACCAGTACAGCCCTCAAATGCGAGCTGGGAAACTCTGGGCATCACTCCAAAATCAACACATACATGCGCGTGTGCGCACACACACAGAAACAAATTAAAATACCTGTGGTTGAAAGGTGACATATAAAAAAGTGAATTAAAAGGTATTACACATGACCTGATCTAATACTAAAATTCTCTGTTTTCCACTCTGCTAAAATCAGCTTATTAAAAAAAAAAAAAAAAAAATCTGAAAGATCAGATATTCACATTTACATTGCGATGTTATCCTGACTGCATGAACCTATCCCTGAGCTCAGCTTTGTTAAGCAATGTCCAAGCAGGCCTTAAAAAGCCCAAACCTACTCAATCTTTCGTAGAGAAAATAAAAATCAATCATGCCTACTAATTATAATTAAAGAAATCCCCTGTGAAGAAGCACCTGCAGTATCATGCACGAGCTTAGAAGCCAGTTGCACAATTCTCTTTCTGAATGACTTAAGCAATTCAGCGTGGATTTTTCTTTTATCTCCATCAAGAGCTTTCCTGTAGAGAGCTGCTCTCTAAAATTATTTGGCTCACTTTTACAGAGTCTAAAACAGTCCTGAAATTGTATGAAGGTCATTCTTTCCAGTGTAACTGGTTTGTCTTCTATGAAGAAATCGATGACAGTAAAACCAATGCACTGAACTGTTGCCTTACTCCACAGAGCTGCATCCTGCATTCCTCACTGGCTGCGTTCTTTTTTTCTACTTCTAACCCTAATCAGATGTTATCAAACACTCTGATATCAACTCCAAACTATCACAGCCAGCTCTAACATCTCCCACATGCATCAGAGCCTTGACGCATTTACCAACTGCAACTGTTTCTTATTAAGGGAACGTCAGGAATTGAATGTGACATTCTATTAACACTCTTCTCGACTATAAATGGTTCATTTTTCCCTGTTGTATCCAGCCAGGCTGCCCCTTTTATTCCCAGCAACACAAATGGAGTTTTATCAGCCTGAAAGAATCTTTCTTCTAAATGAAGCCCAGCACTGTAACAACTTGAAAGGCATCTTTAGGCAGCGTAGTAAAAATGTTTGATTTGTAATTGCCTGCTGAACTCTTGCACAGTCTGTTGCCATATGGTACCCTCCCCTCAGCTGGCAAACAATCTTTCCTTGTTCCTGACTCCTCGGCCTCCCTGCCCCCGCTTTTCTGGAGGGTATGGATAGGAAATCCGAAGGAGGAGTTTCTGCTGCTCTTCGTGTTGGCGGTGACATCATAGGTGGGCTGAACGGCTGAGGCTGGTGTGTTTGTTTAAAAAAAACTGTCCAAATGTGATGTATATGGAATCTGGGTCAGCTGTAGCTGGTTAGTGCACTTCTGCATGGGAGAGTACAACACCGCAGCTTCAAAAAAAAAAAAACCAAAAAAAAAAACACATTGCTTTTTTTCCCTCCCTCCGGAATAAAACATACTGGAACTTTTTCTTCAATTATATTTAAATGATTTAAGTAGTTTGCTTATCGCATGGAGAAACCCAACTCCCCAGCGCAGCCTGGAGCTAACAGAGAAAGACAAAAGCAGTTTTCAACGACAACTGCAGCTTAACAATCTGCAACATTAGAAAACACAGAAAGAAAAGGCAACTTGGCCTCCGGATCGTCCACCTACAACAGAAGCAAACCAGCTGCAACATTCTTTTCTCTTGGTAAGTTTTCACATTATTCTTTCTTGCAAGTCTAATTTTGAGCTATATGCAAATTCTGCATGCATCCATCATCCACAGGCAATTATGAACAAACGAACCTCTCAGCCTGAGTGCAGTTTGACAAGTAAAATATAGACCTCGTTTTCGTGGCGTTTGGTAGAAACTTGGAAGGAATTAAAAAGCACTCTGCCTAAGAGCAGGGACTAACTCATTCCAGTTGCAAGGATGAACAAGTTTCAGTTGCTCTGCTGTAAATCTCCTGTAAGTTTTATGTTATGGAAAGTTACTGAGAAATCAGTACTACCAGATTCTTTGTTACGCATACAGTTGGATACTGTGAACGGATTCATGTGAAAATCAGATCCCACCAGAAAGCAAAAGCCAAAATTGCCATTGACCTCAGGGAACTGGATTTCGCCCAGTGTTACAGCTCAGACCTAGCATTACTAGAAAATGGATACCTCAATAACACTACTGTAAGAAATCCTAAGTAAACCAATGCACATCACTAAGTACAATCATTGTGTGCCTTTCCAACTACAGCTTTATTTACGCTGCTTCTGAGTAGTGGAAGCAGCACGATTTGTACGACTGGTCAAGAAACCAGAGTCATTCACTGGTTCTGAACAAAATTAAGTTTGCAGCACTGCAGTTGTGGAGCCGAAAATCCAAAGGAATTGCTGTAATGGGCACTAGGCTCTTCCTTCTACAGAGGGTGTAAAGAGGGAAAAGAAAATTAATCGTATTGGAATGTAGCAGCAGCTTGTTTTCAAACAGTTTCATAAAAATGAAACGCAACTGACAAGGCAACAGTTTGTCTTGGAAAACAGAGGGGTTTGTTACAGTTCTCGAGGGGGTGGGAGGGGGAAAAGATGAAGTTACAAAGCAGTGATTAAAACAAGAACGCTGCTTTACAAACAGAAAACAAAAGTACAGGGAGAAATAAACAAAGAAGTTGTTAAAACAAGTTGCTACTTTTGCCTTCCTTTATGCTGACTTTGAAATGAGAATATGGCAAATAATCCAGAACAATAGGAAAGAATTTAAGTTTCACATTTGCATTAACAAGCCCTCAGAAACGTCCGGCACAGCAAGAGGGCGAAGGGTGAACTCTGAAAGAAGAGTTACAGCAGCAAACTTAATGAAAATTTAGTAGCTATGGAATGAAGAAGTCTGAGGCAACCTTGACAAACAGAAAGATGGAGCCTTTCCAAGCTCTTGAGCCTTTTTTTTTCTTTTCTTTTCTTTTTTTTTTTGAACTATCCTTTTGTGCTTCCTACATGCTAACAGGAACAACTTAAGTCACAACAGCAACAACAAAAACCCATCTGAAGCCTACATTACATGCTTTGGACATCCATTCATTACTCCCCAAGCTTTTGATTTGCACTGCTTAGAACAATTCCTAAATCTTTCCCAAATGAAAACAGCTGAGTCAATAATTTTACAGCAGTAAAATGGTTACATGCGAGGTTTTAACTCCTGCTCCTTTGCTGTCTTCCAGCTTTGGAGTTCAAGTTTTGAAAAGCTTATTTTAAACAAATAATGGGCTATTAATATTACGGTGTTGCCACAAGAATGATTTGAAATGTGATGGAAAAACATGCCATGCAAACTTCTGCCAATAACTGCAGGCTATTATCAGGTTTTAATTATTGTTTTACTGGGCTTAATTGGCTGCTCATAACATGTCCTATTAGTCTGGTCCTTGAAATTTACACAGTGATGAATGAAGCAGAACTTCCCAGAGCAAACAATTGCTAGATGCCTGACAGCTTTAGACTCCTGGAGGCCCCCAAATAACACAACAGAACGCACCAGTCTACTGGGGCTGCTTGTTAAGATGCTCCATCAAAACACCACGGGTGCAAACAAATGTAAACGAATCCTCATTAAGTTGCAGTAAAACACACACTTGTTGCTGGTTTTCAGAATATGTAGTATGACATGGTCTACAAATCTCTCCTGCAGAGAATTTCTAAGAACCTATCATTTCTTGAAGTGATAGATTTATAGTGAGTACTTCAAAAAAATACCTGAATATTTTTATTGCCTTTCCTA